CAGCTTTCTCTACTCAAATTCCCATTATATCTTCCAGACCATTCAGACCTCCCTCGCCACTCCACATGCACCTCCTACTCAAACTAGGTTTTGAGGTTTTCAGCTCACCTTGGGATTATTCAGCCCCAGAAAAGGCAGGATGGGCTCCTCAGGTTTCTCTCCATCTTCTTCTTTCTACAACTTCCCTTCAAAATCAGCATGGCTTGCCTCTAGGCCCAAAACCACAGCACTAGGAGTCTGATCTTTATTTTTGGGTCTCATATCCCAAGCCCACTGTACCTTCACTGTGTCAGGTCTGCACCCACAGAACAGCACAGCTGAGCACAGTCACAGTACATACACTATTTGTTCTTTTCCACTGCTTTTCTTGAAAGGAATTCTACATAAAGACTCAAAAAAACTACGTTGTCCTTCTCCAGCTTGCTCTTTAAAACTTCCTCTTGGTACCATGTGTATAAAACACAAGGCACTGAGGTGATCAGGCTGCTGGGAATAAGTAAATGGTGCATTTGTTGTTCAGTCTCTACTGTTCCCCTGGCCTTTCCCTTCAGTCTTGCCTGTGTGAGGATACTGCCATGGTATAACAGAGGGCATGTGAGCAGTTCCCCAGCACCTCACTGCTTCCCTCCGAGCAATGGGAGCCGTGTTGGCAGTGGCTTGTATTGCAGGGCCAGGTGTGCTCACACCAGCCCTGTGCAGGGAAGGCTCCAACAGAAACCAAAACACCCCACAACAGCTGGCTCCATACGATGGGCTCCTACTTGCTGACAGAGCTCCTACCTAGCACAAAAATAATGGAATAAAATGTTGCTGAGCTACTGCCCAGTCCCTGCAGATCAGATCCCTGTAAATCACAGCTCGGCAAAGCCACTGCAGTACCTTATGGGTGGGGGGCTTTCTTCATGCACAGGCTGGCTTGTAGAAAGTCCCATCAAGTTTTCTCAGCTTCCTATTGCTGTTTCTGAAGGTCAAACATGCCTGAGAGGAGGGCTGCTCAAAAATACCTCTTTTCAGAAATAACAATAGAACATTTTTTTAGCTGTTTTCATATCCTAATGAAGGGACACATGAAGATTCATAACTAACAGGGAAAAGAGAATCAGGGCTGTGAATGTTGTCAAGACTGCTTGACCATGAATTTATTGTTCCCATAGTTTCTGTTAACAGCAAGAGTGTTGGCAGGCAATCATTACATAACTCTCACTGTACTCATCTAAACCGGAATTGTTCCTTAATGGTTCCTTCTTGCGTAGAAAGGGAATTGCATCGCACCTGCCCACACAACGTCTCTTTTTAACCTGTGCTATCAGTCCCACGCTTCCAGGAGCATTAAAACATGAGTATTTTATTTTTCAGAACTATATTTATAACCTAGGAGAAGACACAAATTTACACCACAACTCAACGTGTGACAATGCAGTAAGAGCCTCAGGATGCCTTTCCCAACCGTCTGATTAACCAGGAACTCACGTCAAAACATCGTCAGGTTTTCTCTGCTGGAGTCTTTTTCCCAAGCCAAATCCAAAGAAGCACACAGCAAACATGGGTGTCACTCCGATGATAGGAGCTGCCATTCCTCTATATAAGCCTCGGACTCCCTGCAAGAACATTATCACAGGAATTACTTGGCTTTGCATAAACTTTGCACACATTTCAACTTGTTGAGAAGAGAAAGGCAACAATCCAGGATAGGATCCATCTAACAGTCAAATTGATCAGAGGAATAAAAGGGTTTGTTGTTTATTTGCAGTTATACATGTTTAGCTGAGGCTCAGGGACTGCTGCAGGGGAAAGTTATCCTTCCTGGGAAACACTGGCACCACTGATACCGTTCTGTAACAATACCCATCACCTGCATGTACATCTCAAGTATGAGCAAGTGAAGTTAAAAGCCATGTGAGTAAGAGCCTTAATAGATTATGTCAAGAGAGAACACTCTGAGCCTACACACAGAAATGCACCTGTGATTTATTGGTAACTTGTCAAATCCAGTAGTGTAAAATCTTGACACTGAACCTAAGAATGCTGAAACTAATTCACTCTCTAACTAAAGGAAGAGCCAGGGAGAGCAACTGGAATGCCTTCACTCCCCACATGAATTCACTTTGGAAAAGGTTCAAGAGCAAATTATTTTTTGTTTCCTACCCTAAATCCAAACTTTTTCCCCACACAACATCACATTCCTGATGTTTTATACATTCCTGATATTTCTTTTCATACACTACACATATGAAAAAGCTTTAATGCATACCCCAGCAGCTGTGTTTATTTCATTTCTCTTGCCTTTAAACTGAACTTTTTCCAACAAAAACTTTTTCCAGTAAAAAGGAGAGCTTCCTAGAGGCTAGACACATCAATTAAATATTTGCTGGTCTCTGCACCCCCTTCTTCCCCCTGCCCCAATAAACCAGTGCATCCCAGAACATACTGAAGTCTTACAGGCACAACTGGCTCTGCCATGAAATTACACCTGGCTGTGAGATTAACCACTGCTGCTCAACCTCCCCATGAGCATTGGGAAGCAAAAGGCCTTGGCAGAGAGGTTTAGTAGTTTTCCTTACAGAAACGGATGAGTATTGAGTAGGAGTAGAGAAGCAGCACTGCTTTTGAACTTCCCATCACAAGGCTATTATTATGGCTCAGCTCTGACGTCCGTGCTGCAGCAGGGGTGTTAAAAACTGCCAGGGATTCAGAGCTGGCACAGCATTCCAGTCTTTTGTGGGAGAGACCAGGGGAGCAAGATTTGCTTTGCTTATATAACAACTTGTTAATACCACATTGGAAGTAGATTTCAGATTTGAGGCAGATCTTTCATTCAACAGGGAGTTACCTAACAAGATCCAGCAGCTAGAAATGAGACTTCAGGCAAGCAGATAAACAGTTGGGTTTTACAACCATTATTTCCAAATGGTAACTAGCTGCTGAGAAAACTTTAAAAGCACAAAACTGGACTCTCTTTTAATTAAAGACTTTAAAACAAGGCTGTGTGCTTTTCTAAAAACAAAACAGACTAGCTCAACAACATGATCATGATGATTCAGGAGTAAAAGACACTGTCCACCTTCTAGAGAAGGTTGAACAACTACTATAATTGACACTCTGGGAGAAAAAAATCTATAAATTAAAGATCCTCTGCCCTCTTATAGGTGGCATAACACCTTACAGAAGAAAGTAAAAGTACTGCTTGTATCAACAAAAGTTATTATCCGTTTTAGAATTTCCAGAGATGACTCCAAATACCAGCAAAATTTCACTAACTACAAGGCCAAAAAACAACTGCCAACATCCACTCCAGTCTATAACTTCAGACATTAATATCATGCCATTTTGAATCAAAAACATTTCTTAGCAAAACAAAGATACATGAACCCAGAGCATGTGCATGCTAAGTATTCCCCAAGCTTTGTAATCTGCTTACAAATGTTAATTAGAATCAATTAAACCGATAACCCAGGAATTGTATGGTCTCTGGGGGGCACATGGTTCCATTCCTACAATGTACAGAAACAACTGGTAGATGTGGCAGGTGTCACAGTACCTCTCCAACAAGAGTCTTTCTGAAGCAGTCAAAGGTCCCAGAATAGAGAGGGGCCTGGCCAGGCTGTGGCTTAGGCTGGGTTTGCAGTCTGACCTAGTAAGAGGGAGAGGAAAACATTATTTTATTAAATATTACAATCTAAACTTTGATTGACAGAACACCGCCAGCTGTTATGGAGCATGTTTTGTGACCGGACCTGAAGATATTGATAGAAACACTGACATCATTTTAGCCCTTTGCAGAAGGGAAGGGGTTGATTTTTAATGTAATGAGTAGTTTATATATTTAACTAATTAATTGCTGCGATGACGTCCGGATGACGACCCCAGCTCCCTGGACCCTACAGGGTCACTCCTGGCCTCCCCGTGGCGCAGGGGCACAGGGTCCCGCCGAGGGACGGGGCTGGCGGGCGCATCCCAGCTCGCTACTCCACCGGGAGCACGGACGCTCTTTTCCCGATTTTTCACGATAAACCAGGACTGCGAGACGCCCGGCCGCCGCACCGCCAGGGGGCGCCCTACAGCACTTCAGGGAGCCAGGCAGCCTACTCGCGGCGCATACCGGAAGCCCCGCCTCCCGCGCAGTTCCTGCCGGGAGCTGTAGTTCTGCCATGGCGCCCGCCGGGACCCGCGCCGCTCCCGCGCAGTTCCTGCCGGGAGCTGTAGTCCACCCTCCAGTGTCCCGCACCGAGTACCGGCCGCCCCCCTTGTCCCGGGCCGTCCCGCGCTACCTCACCTTGATGGTGTCCAGCGGGTGCCCCACGAACACCAGGCAGACGCCCCCGAAACCGCCAGCGAAGAAGTTCTTCAAAGGGCTGATGGGCTGCGGCTGCTTCGCCATGGCGGCGGCGGGTGAGAACCGGGGTCGGGGCGCTGCGTCCCTGCCGAGCCAATGCCGCCCCCTCCGCGCCGCGACCTTTAGCCCAGTGCGGGGCACGCCGGGAGGCGGGCGCGGGGCGGGCCGGGACCGCGGCGGTGCGAGGGGCCGCTCCCGGCGCTGCCACCGCGCGCGGCCACTGGGTGCTGTCACCGGTCGAGGCCGGCCCGGGGGCCGCTCCTGAGAGCGCGGGGCCGCTTCCCCCCGCACATCCGCAGTGGTTCAGCCGTTCCCCCCCGCTCCAGCGCCGTGGCCCGGCCCGGCCCCGCCCCGCCCGGCGGAGGTGACGCACCGGGCCCGGCGGTTCCGGCGCGCAGGAGGAGCTCGGGGCGCTGTTCTTGCCGCCCGCCTGCCCGCCCGGTAAGTGCGGGGCCCGGCCGTGCTGTGCTGGGGGTCTCGGTGGGGCCCTGCTGGGACTGGGGCGAGACCGGCGGGGGGGATGCGGGGCCGCTTGTCCGTGCCCGGTGCTGAGCTCGGTGCTACGCCCCGGCAGAAGCCGCAGCCCGAAGCTCTCGGGCTCCAGGCGGCCGTGCGGGGGCCCCTCCTCGCCCTGCCGCCGCCCGGGCTTTCCCCGCACGGCTTCTCTCCCGCGGTGTTCCTGCTCCGCCCTCCCACAAATCTGCGGCGCTCTGGCTGTGCGGGACAAGCGCAAGCGCTGGTCTCACGCATTCCAAAAGAATGGACCCGAGGTAATTTAAATGCGATGGGTACCGCTCTGCCCGAAGCCAGAGGTGCTGTGGAATACGTAGCTATCCGTAAAACAACTTGTTAAAAGCGACGATAGGTTAGAAAGGGCAGGAGTGAAATGGATCAGATGAGTTGGGAAAGTGGGAAAGATAAGGCAGCCGTGATAGTGTGAACCAAGGCAGGCAAGAGGAAGGCAAGCTGGTGTGTTCCCGGGGGAGCGTGATACAGCTGGAAGGAGGTTCCTACAGGGTCGTCTGTGGTGAAAAGAATAGGGCGTCTTCTGGTTTCTCTGTCTTGGATGAAAAAATTCCTACCTAAAAACAGTGGAGAAGAAACGGTGAGGTGTGCCCTGCATATGTGAGGAGGCAGTTGGGGATGATCCACGAATTATGGGTTTGGGTGACATAGATGAAGATGCAATTAGCATCGATAGCCAGCATGGAGCTGAGGCTAATGGATAGTTTGAGGGAAAAGGGAGAATGTTAGCCAGTTTAAAGGTTACGTGGATAAGGAGTCTAGGAGATAGACTTAAGTCGCACGTTCTCTTTTTCAGATAAATAAAGAGGTGAAAGAAGAAAAAAACGTGTGAAAGGGTTATGAAATATCAACAAAAAAATAGGAGGAGCATTCTCCAATTGGAGGAAAGTTATTAGAGGAATCCAATAAGGGTTGGCAGGAAATAAGAAAAGTGATGTAGTGGGACAAGGAATGAGGTGGGATCACATAATGTGTGGCACTATGGAAGGCATTTTGTTTCAAAAGACCTTGTTAAGAATTGTGTTGCAAAGCAGGAGTCAGGGAAAGGACACGGTTGGAGATGATAGACAGCAGAGTGTAGGGGTGGGTGTGTTTAGGAGTTCCTGCAAGAGACTGGAGCAAGGGAGCTGACTAAATTGTATCAGTGTTAGTGAAGATACAGGAGTATCTTGGATAAAGGTGATAAAGGAGGAGATCATCCTCCCTTAAGTAGGAAAGTGATCTAAATATGGTTTAAAATTTTATAATTTGGTCTTGGGAGTTATGGTCATTATTTAATCTAAATAATCCTTGCTTTTTTGACCCTGTCTTTTGAACTTAACATCTTTATGTCTTAAAAATTAGTGCTATCAAGTAGTAGCTGTCTTGTCTGTGTATTCAAAGTGTTTGATTTGGGCTTTGGGCTGAACATAGGTGAGTTGTTCCTGGTTTTCCTAGTACCCTCCTTTGCTTTGTCCACAGAGCCTGTGCCTTGTGCTTCTTCTCCCTTCACTTGTGTCAGTGTGATGTTCAGTTATACTGGAAATGAGCTCTTTCCTAGAAAGCTGGGACAGGAGTCACAGAAGTCACCCAGTCCTGCAGCTTGATAAATCCATATGTCCATTTGCCTGTGCAAACAGTTCCTCTGATCACAAAAATGTGCTAGTGGCACAGAGAGACATCTCTGCACTCCTCTCACCCCCTCCCCAGTGACTGGTGTGTAATTGGGAGGTACTGGGCAGGCCCATTATTCTACCTGGATATCTACAAACATCTCACTGCTTGAATGTGACTTGCCATGCGCTGGAAGAGCAGAGGACCCAGTGTTCTCCTGGTTTCCTGGTTTTGCTTTTTTTTTTTTCTCCTTCTATAGTGTGGAATGATCTGAATGAGTTTGAGAAGTTCCCTGGCCTGTGAAACTTGATCAGGCTTTATGGTGGCTGAACAAAGAAAGTTGTTGCACACTGGGCTATTGATAGTCCACACTGGGGTTAGAGGCTCAAATAAGTCATTCTTTAAATATAAGTTTTAGCTGGTAAAGATCCATTCTTTTATGCAAGAGCTCAGTGTCAATGCAGATTAAGCCCAGACTCTAAGCAGGGTAGAGGGAGGGATGAAGGTTTGCCTTGTGTCTGCCAAATCAGATTTCACATCTGTCTCCTTCCAGTATGGAGGGACTGTGTGTCTGTTCCTCTGAAGTCCTGTGGAAAGCAGTGCTATAAATTATTTGTGTGCTACGTGTGCTGTGGATAGCTAAGGAATCAAGAGGCAATGAAAGGAATGAAGACCAGAATTCAGGAGGTAATGTAATTAGGTACTAGTCTTCAGCCTCTCTGGAGGTTTGTATCTCCTGAAATCACTGAAGCCCCTCAAATTAATTGTACATCCCATCTCTTCTGGTTATTCTCTGCTGCCTGGTCAGGTGACTGGAAACAGGGAGAAAAAACCAAACAAAAAACCAAAAACCAAACCAAAACAAACAAACCAAAAAAAACAAGAGTTGAGGAAAAATAATTAAAATTTGTGGTTAAGATTTCCTGTACTGTAAAGTCAGGATTATCAAAGCTTGATTATGGTTTCCCCAGCAGCTACAAATTGCAATACTGAGGGAATATATTTGAGTGGCAGAGCTGACAACATAGTAATGCAGAATGGGAGTGTATTTAAGGAACCGAATATGTGCTGCTTGTGGAAAATAGAGCTTTGATTTCAATACGTTTTTATATGTAAAATTCGGTTACAGCATTGTTTTAATTCTTCTGTATTTAATATAGTCTCTCTAAACTAAATAATTCAGTTAAATGGAAATTTTTGACTAGATATGAGATGACCATAATTCAAGGTTGATTCATGCTTTACTGCTGAATCTTTTAGAGCTCAAATTCATATGGTTTCGTTACACAAACAGAAGATTTGTAGTTCAGATAAGTATCAGATGTGTGAATTTTCCAAAACAAATGAGTATCTTAAAAAACAAGAAAAGTTAGCTGTTCTTCTTCTTCCAACAGCTGTCAGTACCTGAGCATAAATTTCTACATTCAAAAGGTAATAAGTATATATATTGGGAAGGCAATAAATAATAATTTTATTTGCCCCTTCAGATATAAGGCCCAAGCCACATCACATTCATTAGAACCAATTTAAAGGGATGAACTATTTTCACAATTTCTTTTGAGATGGCATTGAAGACTGTTAAATTGTGTGCATGTGAGAGATCTGTTTGCTGGTCTTATTTTCTTAAGTCCCGCTTAATGTCTGTAGGTCTGAAGTAATACGGATTTGTTCAGAATATTACAAGTTGTACAGGATATCACAGGTTGCCTTTCTAGCTGCTGTGGTCATAGGTAAGAGGTTTGTGTTTTTCCTGTTAATTAAATAGCTAGGATGCTGTTCTTAAGCATTTCAGGCTGTTGATAAAGAACTTTGTCATAAATTCAGTTTTATCTCTGAGAAGATCTGTAGTGAAGGTTATGCAGCCAGCTTCCAAATGTCAGAAGTCACGGGGCCTGCACTGGGGACTAGGATGCAGTGTAATAACCCAGTCTCCAAGGATTTGGACCTGTCCTGTAAGAGCAGCCTTGGCTTTGGAGGTGCAACAGTCACAGTGGATCCAAACCAGGGACATGCACAGAAGAATCCTCTTTACTGGGCCGTTGGGTTGGTCTGTTCCTAGCTGTTTGATCACCTACTTGTTGTTGACTTGGCACCTCTTACAATTTCTTAGGCACAGAAAAAATTGTTTTTCCTCTCTTAGGAGACAGAGCTCAGATGAAATCAAAAGAACAATAAAGTTTGGAGGAAAAAAAAGAAGCTGCGCTTGCTTCCCTGGTCTGCAGTTTGGCAGGGCATTAAGATGTCCGTGGACATGAACAGCCAGGGCTCTGACAGCAATGAAGAGGATTATGACCCTAATTGCGAGGAGGAGGAAGAGGATGAGGATCCTGGGGATATTGAGGATTATTATGATGGGGTAGCTAACGACGTGGAGCAGCAGGGAGCAGATGCCTTTGATCCAGAGGAATATCAGTTCACCTGCTTGACTTACAAGGAGTCGGAGAGCACTCTGAATGAACACATGGCCAGCTTGGCTGCCACGTTAAAGGTGAGGAAAGGTTTCTGCATTAACACAGGTGCAAGACAAGTCTGTGGTTGTGAACAGGCAAATGCTGATAATACAGTTGTAATGAAAGCTGTGGCGACATTGCTGTTACGGGGGGGTTGGAGGAGCATTATTGAAGGTCCCTTGTTTGAAACTGACTCAGAGGTTTACAATTGTTACATACTGGGGCCTGAAAAATCTTCCTCACTGAATGTTGAATTTTTTTTTTGCAGAGCTGAGCTTCATGACCAAAATTCCTGAGTTATAACTCTTTGTATTAACACAATGCAAAGAGGGCATGTAGAAAAGAAACAAATCAAACCATAAATGGTGCAGCTTGGTAAACCTGTGTTTGAGAAGATAACTGACAAATAGGAATGCTAAAACTCTGTAATTCTAACAAAAACACTTTTCTTGGTTGGTTCTGAGAATAATCCTGGACTTTCAAAGACAGGTTAGCTGTCATGCCGGTTTTTAACCCTACAGTTGCAGTGATAGCAATTCAAGTACAGTGAACTTGCCACCTCTTGGGGCAAGTGTGACTTAATTCATCACAGAAAAGTCACACTCGGAGTCAGGTCCATGGTTCCTATGCTCCATAAGACTTTTGTGAAGTTTTTTTTCTCTTTTTGTAACTGATTACTTTAGTGTCAGTCAGAAGAGGAGACAGGCCAGGGGAAAGCAGAGTTTTCCAAGCTCTAGATGTGGACAGTGGTTTGAAATTGCTGCTGCTTCTACCTAGTAACAAACCAGGTCTTCTAGTGCTTGCTCTTCTCTGGAACAGTCTCTGAAGGCAGGACAGGTGGTGACTGCAGCATGTAAAAAGGACTGTCTTGGGTAGGTTTTGATTCCAATTCATTCTGTCTGAATCAAATCTAGTTTTTAAAATGAGAGAGATCTCTTGATCTTTATTTGCACGTTAATGCCATGTAGAAAGAGTATAACCATGAAGCCTGAGGAGTATGCACCATAAACAACAGGCTTTAAAGGGCACCCATAATTTGATGATTTTGCTATCTGTTATGCTTGTTCCCAGCATTTACCACCTCAGAAAATGAAGTTTTACTTTTTCTTGCTCTTAAACTTCTCTGTAATTACTTCAAAATGTGCATTCTGAGCTCTGAATGCCTGCAGTTCCCTACAGATGATCAGAAACTGGAGGCAACAGAAAAGTACAAATGAGACTAGTTGGTTAGCACTTCTGATCCAGCTGCCAGTTGCTTTTGGTTCTTAGCAGTTAAGATTTAGAACAGCTTTTCTGTACCTTATTGTCTGCCTTCAAATGGAAGGTTCACCCTCCTAAAAGGTGACCCCTGCCATATTGTTCTCTTGAATTAAATTACAGAAAGCAGTATTTTTAGTCTTTAAAATCAGGCTTCCAGTGTTAAAATAAAATTTTCAGGAGCTCTGAGGGTCTCATTGAGCATATATTATAGTTGCCCACACTATACCAACCTGCTAGCTCAAATTTCATCCCAAATAGTACCCAAGGAGAGAAAATCTAGTTTTCTTTTATATCAAGAATATGCCTGTAAATTTACTTTTAAAATTAAATGCTACACACTTCGGTTTATGCATAAGGAGATGAAATTGAATTTGAGTAGCGGTTTGGAAAGATGTGATCTTGTAAGCCACACACTCGCGCTTTAGCCCTCAAAGTGCCACATTAACTCTCTTTTCTCCAGCAACAATATTCTCACAGTTGCACTTCTATTGGGTATCTCTTGTGTATCTGCAGCATTTGCTTTTTGTTTCCTGGCATACTTGCTTGCAGTTCTTCAACAACCTGTCTTCCTTCCCCTCTCTCCCCACCAAGGAAACTTGTGATTTTGTTAGTTTTCTGAGACAAAATGTAATAGAAAGAATTAGTATTGAATTAGTGAGCACAGAGAAGAAAGAAATTGAATAGAGCATGCTGAGCTATTTATAATCACTATTTTCCATGGACTTAATGGATATGAGTAAACAGGGGTAGACTTTTTAAAGAGTCATATAACCTCCTTTTATATTCATTTCCTTGAGCTGTAAAAACTGCTTTTTCTTTTTAAAACTACCTTTCACAATGTCTGGATAGTGATGATTGTTCTTTTGGAGCATCTAGTTAATTTTGATTTCATCTCCTTTACTCCTTTCTCTCCTTTACTCCTTTATGGTAGATACTGATTATGTGGTGCTTTTTCTGCATTAGCTCATACTTAAGGCAGAATGGTTGCCCCAGCAGGGAAGGCTGAAGGTAAATTAAAGATTATCTTCAGGAGGTACAAAGTTGAAGCCACTGGATGACTTGGTATCTGAGTGATATACTATCACAAATTAATAGATTAATACAATTCCCTAAAGCAAATAAAAAATAACTGCAATGAATGGGCTTAAAGTTGTGTTGGAATGTTCTGCCACTGTCTGTTCTCATTAGTTGATTCAATTTCTAAAGTTTAACTCTGGGATACATACATGTGTATTGAGTGGCTTTTTCTTTGTGACGTATTGTCTATACACTTTAAAGACCAGAAACAGATTTTCAGAGCTTTACATTTTTATATTTGCAATCTGTGCTGTTAGTGGCTAATAACAGTTTAAATAGATAGTATTTCATTTGTTCTGCTCATTAACCCTCAGCGTTTGTTTTTCAAACTGCTTTGCTCAGCTATTTCAGACTGATTGTTAAATTCCTATTTTATCTTAAAGTGTAGCATAAAGAGCGGTCTCTGGACACCTTCTTGGCTTTTGTATTCCCCATGAATTATAGTTGACCTTATTCTCATTCTTGCTGAAGGCACTGAACTGAGCAAACCTTGCACTGGCTGGTTAAAGTCAGGTCAGGTGTGAACACCCTGAACATGTTTAAAAGTTTATATGCAACATTGAAAGAGAAACTCTCTTCAACAAAATGCTTGTGTTTTGTTTATCCCAATTAGAAACAGCACAGTTAAAATTTGAAGTCTGACAAAAGCATGACACCCTACATGTAGGTAAATTTATGTCCTTGTATCTCTTACTGTTGTAGGAAACTTTTGCCTCAAATTCTTCTGACTTGCTTTTTGTCAGGTGTGAAAACCTGAATATAAACATTAATGCAAACAAGGCAGCAGTAAACTAAACCAGCTGTGCTGTGTGACAGGCCTGCCACTACATTAATGATTATTCCAGAGCCATACAGAAGCTAGAGAGATGTAATAAGTGTTACTCTGAAAGTTTCTTCATTTTGGTTTTAGTAAGAACTGTGAGTTCATTTGTTTTCAAGGAAAAGAAAATGACGTCTTTGCTGCTTGGTTAGTGCTGTTAATATGAGGATCTGAGGAAGGTTCTGTTAATACCCTGACTAAAATTAGGACATGCTATCTCTACTGAAGCATACCAGAAGACAATCTCAAAATAATACCCAGAACTGAGGTTCTCTGACCAAAAGGCTTGTGAATTGAAGTAGGTCACTTTTAATTCCTCAAAAGGTCACTTGACCACAGTCAACACTTGTGAAGGACAATGCTCTCAAAAGCAGAGTAGCTCATACTGCCTTCAGACCAGCAAATTAATTCACAGAGGTTCTTTTTAAGAAATACATACAATTATAAGATACAGTATCTTTCAAAAATAATGAATTAAAACAGTATAGTAGTAACTTTGCTTTTGAGATAACTCTGTCAGTTGTCATTGAGTGATTGTGGGTCCTGGAGTGGCTTATCAGTACATGCAAACAGTGTGATCCTCAGCAGTTGTACAAACAAAGCTGAGCCTGTCACTGGCAAGCAATTAAGTGTATGATTATGTCATATTGTTTTTGTTTGTTAATGATGCTTCCTGGCTCTGCTGAGGGTCTCCATACGTGTCTGGAGTATCTGTAATATTTCAAATAACTGGGAATGGTTTCTCTCTTTCAGTGATAAGGCAGATTTTTCTAGTGTTATTCTTTTTTTGTTTTGTTTTGTATTTGTTATAAACCACCAGATAAAACAATTGCAATTAGAATGTATGAAAAAAAAATTTAGGTTGACTTTAGGTGTTAGCTGATTGTCAGTCATGAGGGAGCTGTGATCTTTCTGCATATGCAAGCTGGCAAGGGAAGATCGTCAAGTTGTTCTACAGGTACTGATGTCTTTCCACAAAACCAAAGGAATTGTAAGACTGAAGAACTTATACTTTTAACTTCACTAATTTGAGTGATCTGCTAATATTTATCAGAGAGCAAAAAGCTTACTTTCTGTGCTTCCTGAAATTACACCTTGTGATGTGGGTTTTTTTTAGCTCTGTCCCTTGAAGAGTAAATCTTAGTAGATGCAAAAAGTATTTGATATCATGATATAATTCTGTTAATCTGTGTCATCACTACTGATCTTTCAGAGATAAACCAGTTTTGCGTATATTCTGGCTCACCAGACTGATGTTGCATCCTTTCATGGAACTAGATTAGTATTTACTCATGAAAACACAGCCCTCTGAGGCTGCTCCACACACTCAGATTGCGCTGACACAGAGCAGTTAGTTTGTAGAGCTGTGTGGTGCGAGCTGGCAGTGCTCTTTTGCAAATACCATCTCCAGCAGACCCAGGGTCATGTGTGTGGGGACTGGCAGCCTGTGTGAGCAGCCCTTCCTGAAGGAGCCTGTTCCCTGCAATCACAAAAGTGTCTGTAAAGAGCCGTATGTCAGGACCCTGGTGTGTCTGTGCCCTGCTGTATTGCTGTTCAAACCATGGCCCAGAATGTGCTATAGGGTGCTGCTTGTCTGAACTAACCTGCAGTGCTGCAGTGTCATTCTTTCAGTGCCACAATGACTTCATAAAACTTTCTGTAATCTAAAATGGCAGTGTTAAAGCCTCACTCTGCCCTGGGTACCTCAGGTGCAGGAGAGGGATTAAAGCCCCTTGAAGTATTAAAATGCATGTACATAAAAATAGGGTTTCAAAAATATGTGTTCAAAGTTCAAGTCCATAAGCACCAACATTGAAAAGTCTTAGTAAGCAATAAATATTTAAATATAATTATTTATAAATGGCAGAACTTGATAGGCAA